TTCCCCGCCGCCGGGCGCCGAGGGGGTGGCGGGGCTGCGGCCGCTCCCGCCCCCGGCCCGGGCGGGTACTGGTGCGTGCCGCTGAGGGAAGAAGCTCCCCTGCCTCCTCCTCCTCCTCCTCCACCACCTTCTTCTCCTTCTCGCCTCCCGCCGCCCCCAGGCCGCGGAGGATGAGCCGGGGGGCCGCTCGCCGGCTCTCGGCTTGATGTTTATGCCCAGGCGGGACGTCCTTTGTCTTGGTCCTCACCCAGGAGCGGCGTCCCGACCCCCTCTGACCAGCAGCAGCCTTTTTTTCCTTTTTTTTCTTTAATATAAGGGAAGTTACAAGAAGCTTCTGAAAGATTGCCTTTTGAAATTAAAGGCGCTTTTTGCCACGCAAGTCGCCGAAGACGATGCATTTAAAATCGCGAAGCAGCGTCCTCCTCAGGGGAGTCCCTGCCGGGGGACCGCGGGGGGCTGCAGCCAGTGGAACGTGAGCTCCCATGGGGGGGTCCGGGGGGTGGCTCTTTCATGAGTGGTGTCCCGAAGTGTGCCAAAACAAGACGACACCGAATTCCAGCGAGAACGTAAGGCGGGAGGACGCTTTCCTGAAGGTACCTTACGCGAAGAGGTTGGGTTCACTGAAAAAACGCGTCCCATCCTGCCGGTGGAATCAGTGCAATGGCTACAGGTTACATCAGATCCTCCTGATTTTCTTCCTCTTCCCTGCAAGGTTTTGAACTGTGTTTTTTTTCCAGAATAAATGCTGTGCAGTCTTTGCGGCGAGGAGGAAAATTTCAAATAGTTTGTGTTTGATATAAAACATGTCAGCAAATTCTGTGGAGGAGATGACCGTTGCACATTACGACACCTAATCTTCATTGAGGAGTTCCATTCAGTCAGGGAGACACCATTTTTTTCCCAAAGTACACAGGCAATTAACTCTGGAAAACTTCTGGCTCTCAGCATTCATGTTCAGAGACTTACCAAGATGCCAGCTTTCCTTCCCGAACCATGAAATTCTGTTGCAACAGTTTTGATGTGGGCATACATGCTGTGTACACCAGATTTTAAAAAAATAAGTAATCAATACGTAAATCCAGTTTTTAATGTCTTAAGCGTACCTCAGTGTGCTCCAGTCACTCACTAATGGGCGTTCAGTCCATAGGATCAGGCTAGAGCTAGTCTGAAGGAAAACCTGAACTTGTGTAAAAT